CCCCAAGAGAAGTTTCCCCAAGAGAGGTTGCACTGTATTTAATTTATTTTTCCAATTAATTGCAATTTAATTGTAGCAAACTATAAAACAAAAGTGTATGATAAAAATAAACTTTTAACAACAAACTTTAAAAATAATATGTAAAACAAAAAAAGTAATTGCCCCGTGGTTGGGTCCAAAAAAGTAATGGCCACGGGGCCAAAATATAATGGCCCCAGGGCCCAAATTTAATGGCCCTGGGGCCAAATATAATGGCCCCGGGGCCGGGGCCAAAAAATTGCCCCGGGGTCTATTTAGATGTACTCTGTTAATATTAAATAATTACAAATTGAATTTAATATAAATGTTGTATATTATTTTAATAGTTTACTTTGTTATCGATATTATTTTAACAAAAATAAATAAATACCGTATATATTATGTTGAATTAAATACGTTTATAGGAGTTTTTAATAAAGCAATGACCATGATAGTATTCAAAAATTAACCTTTTAGAAATTATCAACGAAATATTGTTTATAAAGTAAAAACTAAGCATTTATTTATAAACCAATAAAGCCGATCTTATCCATAAAATATTAAATAAATGCTTATCATATTTATATAATTGTAAATAATTGTTAAGTTACAGCTAATAAAATGTTTAGATGAGATTAATTATGTATTTAAAATCTTACATAGTTAGTGTATAATTGCAGTCAGATTCAAACGACTGAAGACACCGGCACTTCGCTAATAGAGTGACCGCAGCATTGATTGCGCGCATAAACCGTGCGATTGGCGCCACATATCAGAGCGACGGTCAGTATGTCATGGATTGCCGTTTAATGCAGTCATTGCCGACCGTAACCTTCATTTTTGCCGGTCATGCCTTTTTTCATAACCCTGTATATATTTTATATAAATTTAACCAATACAAACTGTACATCTAAATCAATAAAATATTTGTTTGTAACACTAATGCAAAATTTAATAAAAATTGGAACGACTGCTTACGAAATTATTTTATTTATTAAATAAACAATAAACTTTATAATTAAATAAACTACAATATATTAAAAAAAAGTTTAATTAAAATTTTATTAGTAATTTATATTAGGCAATGTTTTATTTGAATATATTATACTACAATTTCTCATTCAACTTCTACAATAACAATTACTAATTGTCAATTAGGTTTACATACGTAATAAATATGGCACATTGTTTTGTTCTTTGTTTAATTTAATTTATTGAAATATTATTTATGTAAGTTATATTTATTCGTTAGTAATTGTCATTAAATTTTATAATGTAAATTTATAATCAGATTTCAATAAATAGTTAAAACTGTAATTTATTTCATGGCATAATTTTAATATAATTGACTTTTTGAAACATAATATTATTTGGTACATAATCGAGTCAGTCATTTTTTAACTGAAATTTGCATTTATATGTATTTGAGAAAAACAAATTAAATCTGGGGTATTTTGAAAATGATTTTGCATTTATTGATCTACAAGTAATTGCTAGTTATTGTATTCATCTATATGATAATACTCAAGATAAAATGACCAATATCAATGTAAGTAAACATTTTTATGATCTATTTTAACAAAAGAATATGATTTATGGAATATATTTTAAAGTGATTGAGATAAACTAATAAAAAATTATTTTATTTAATTAAGATAACATGATTAAGTTTAAATTTTTTAGGTTAATAAATGTTTTAATCGAAATTGGAATTTTTAATTAAATTAAAATTTTACTATAGATCTTTTTTGATGTATATTTTGCAATACTATTTATTCTCAATAACTATCAATAAATGTGACAATTAATTGATATAATTAATATGCTTCATTTAAAACTTAAATTTACAACTCATTTCATTATAATTTATTTAATGCATACTACATTTCAAAATAATATGACAATTTACCAGTTAACTTATTCATTAACAATATTAGATTATTGTTTTATTATTAACATTGTTATTAAATGTAACGCTAAATTATAATATAAACCATATTTAATTACTCGTTTATAAATAATACAAATGTTTTACAAATAATATGTCACATCATTAATCCCGTAGTAGAACCTATATACAATTTTATTTGATAGAGGGTTATTAAACAATGCATAAATATGATATAAATACGGCTTAAATATTAAATATATTAATGAAAATTGAGATCAATTTAACTCCGTACCAAAATATTATTGAATATTATAATGAGAGTATTTAACATGGCAATCCTACCTCTAGTAATGTGCATGATGTTTGTGATGGCCGATGCACTAGTACGAGTCCCGTTATATCCAGGAAAAACGACAAAAAATGATCACCGTGATCATAATATAAAAGTGCCGGATAATCTTAGAGCAGTTAGACAATCCGCAACTGAATTAATGCTATCCAACGATTTTAACAATGATTATTACGCAACCATATACCTGGGCACTCCGGGACAACCATTTACAGTAGGTTAACGGTATAAAAACTAAATATAAAATTTATTTGTTCAATAAATATTCACCTAATCCACTTATAAATTTTTGAATTAAATTGTTAACCAAAAAATAAATAGTTTCTGTATAATAAAACTAAAATATAAGTTTATAATTAATAGGTACAGCTCGATACGGGCAGCGCAGACCTATGGGTACCGTCCATACACTGCAACATCGGGTGCCCGACAACCGAACACCGATACGACTCGTTGGCGTCGACGACATACCAGTCCAATGGCACCGACTTTTTCATAGAGTACGGCGACGGCACTAATATGACCGGTTTTCTCAGCACCGATGTGTTAAATTTTGCCGGCTTAATCGTACCTGCGCAAACATTTGCCGAGGCCACCGTGGTCAATTCATATCCTACAGTGTACGAGGGCCTACTAGGCATGGGCTACCAAAATGCTGACATAGATGGGTGGGACGGTGTGATCACACCGTTTCAAAACTTGATAACCCAGGGATCGGTAGCCCCGGTATTCTCATACTACCTGAACCGCAACGACAGCGAAGGCGCACCGGGCGGTGAACTACTGTTGGGCGGCTCCGACCCCGATCATTATTACCCACCCCTTACCTAATATTACGTTAAGGTTACCCAACGTGGTTATTGGCAATTCGCGATGGACGGGGGTAGTGTGTCCAACGGTGGTCCGAACTTTTGCGTTAATGGCTGCCAGGCGTTTGCCGATACGGGCACATCCCTACTGATGGGACCCAACGCTGATATTAAGGCCATTAATGAGTTTTTAAATGGCACCGACAATGGCGATGGCACCTATGATCTAGATTGCACTCAATTTGTGCAAGGTCAATTGCCAGATGTTACGTTTACCATTGGTGGGGTGGGGTTCTCGTTGAGTCCGGCCGAGTATATACTGGCCGATGGCGACGATTGTCTGTCAGGTTTCTCCTATAGTACTCTATTTCCGGCAACGATGTGGACAATGGGTGACGTGTTTATCGGTCCCTATTATACTGAGTTTGATTTTGGTCAGAATAGGCTGGGATTTGCTAGGTCAAAATAATTAATATTTTTTTTAATTATAATTTTGTTATAATTAAATTACCGGTATTAAATTAATGTTTTTTGCTTTATAATTAAGTATTGTATTTTTAATTGTTTTTAGTTTGTTTAAATTTTGACAAAAAACAACAATATTTTAAATTAATAATTATTGAGCAGATTTATTTAAAAATTATTAAAATAACAAAATTTTAATTGAAATGATAATTAATGCAAGTGAATCGTAAATCATATTTAATTAAAATTAACCTATATATAACTAATATATAAATAGTTTAAAATATATTTATATTTTCTTAATAGCGTATGGATGTTTTATATATACTTAATTTGTTTAAAATTATTAACAATTTAATGAATTAATTTCGATTACATAAAATAAAATATCGGAAATAAGGACTTGAGCTTATGATATCTAGATAAAGATATATTTACAAATGATACTAGTGTGATATAATTATTTACAATGTTTATATTTTACTGCAATTTTACTAACTGTAGATAATTATCAAAATTTATTTTATATGAAAAATGCAAAAATATTTTACTAACATTTGAACGTTTGTGAAGAATAAGTACTTTTTTATTAAAACATTTCCAATATATTAAACTTAATATTTAAAAGTTAAAACTGTTATACAAATATATATCTTGTATTACTATGTTGTAAAAATTTTTTGTTTGTATTGGAGAAGTATACGATATACAATTTATATAATTCAATTTTTAAATTTCTTATATAAGTTTTAATAAAAACATTTATTAACATTTACATTAATCATATTATAAACGTTTAAATTTAAGTTGGCTGCAAATACAAGAAGATAATTTTTAACAAACACTACCAAATTTATATTAATTATTTTAATATTTATAATTAATACCAATGGTATATTAATTATATAATACTTTTTTAATCATATATTAAAAATTATTAAAATATTGAAAAATTTTTGAAAAATTTAAAAACATTTTTTTTGCATAAATATTCCGTATTTGATATATTATGTTGAACTTATGTTTACTTATGGTAAATCATATCGTTTGATATGATTTTGAATCAATTAAAGAAATTAGTTTATCAATAAATTATTGACAATAATATAAATAATCACTTCGTTTCATACTGTAAATAAATATATTGATTACGATATATTAATCTAAAAAATAAAGTAGTTTTTTATTTGGGATTGCGGAAGACAAACAATATTAAATGATCTATTAAAATTTTGGTTAATATTTGGGGTTCGCTAGATCAAAATAAATAATGTTCTATTTAATTTTAATATTGTCGTAATTCAATTACCGTTGTTATTAAATCAACTTTTATTTTAAAATTAAATACTAACCATTGGAGAGCAAAAATGACAAAATCAATACATCTTCAGATGACCATATCTTCGGAATTACAACAGCCAGAGACAAATAGATAGCATGGTTTTGTAGCTTAATAAATAAAGTTTTAATTGTAAAGTGCTTTATATATTATTGTGTATAAGTTTATTAAATCAGTAGTCTAAAATGTAAAAACTAACTAGTACAAAATGAATTATTTTTGCCATGTTAGTTTTCCAATTGTTTTATTTCTTGTACTTTATTGACAAAGTATCTATTTAAAAAATATTATTTTGTACTACTATTTTTTCTTTACCTATTAATAACTTAGTTAAAATAAATATATTAACATTAATTCAATCATATCTACATAAAATAAAATATTAAAATAAATACTTGAGCTTATGATACAACTGATACTAGTATGATATAATTATTTATAATGTGTATATTTTATTGTATATTGTACTAACTGTAGAAAGTTACAAAAATTTATTTTATACCTCAAATTTAAAAGTACTTTACTAACCTTTGGTGATGTCCAGAATTGTGGTTTTATTTATGTTTTACGCATACAATTGTTGTATACTTTAATTGCCTAATATTTGCATGTTGTTAAAACGTGTAAATTAAATATTTTAATATTAATAATTTCAAAACTTAAGAGCAATGTTAACTTTAATGTGAAATCTAATTTAAAACTAACAATTATTCATATAAATTGGTTACTTTGATTATTTAATTTTATAAGAATGTTGTTAAAAACTGTAAATAAAACAATAACAAAATTTCTAAATCAGCAGGAATATAATTTGTTAATAATTGGATGTCAAAATTCCTTAAAAATTTTATATTAATTAAATTACTTATTTAATTAATTATCTGTTTTTGAAACGAGTTCAAGATTCAAGATAATCAAACTCAAACAGCGCCCCCCTTAATATTACTTATCCCTTACCTACGTTAATGTTACCCAACTGGGTTTTTGTCAGTTTTGCGATTGATGGTGGTAGTGTGCTCAACAATGTATCAAAGTTGTGTATTGTTGTTGTGAGTAGTATACAGTTGTGCACCGGTGATAGCTGTCAGGCCATCGCAAACACTTGCGCAAAACAAATACTTGTGCTTTTGATACAACTAAATAATTTTGATATAATTATTTACAATGTTTATATATAATTGCATATTTTACTAACTGTAAAAAGTTATCTAAATTTATTTTATATGTTAATTGCAAAATTGTTTTACTAATATTTGGCGATCTCCAGAAGTGTTGTATTTTTTTTAAAAATGTATACGCATACAATTGCTGTATATTTTAATTGCTTACTATTTTCATGTTTCTAAAACGTGTAAATTTAATATTTTAATAAATGATGTTAAAACCTAAGGTGTAAGGTTAACTATAGTGATAGATCTAATTTAAAATTAACAATTATCTGTATTAATTGTTTATCTTCATTTATTTAATGTTATAATAATGTTGTTAAAAACTGTAACTAAACTGATAATAAAGTATCTAAATCAGCATGCATTGAATTTGTTAATAATTGGATGACGAAATTTATAGTATAATTATTAGGTTCTTAATTGTATATTTTTACTTAACTGTTAATATTTATTTTAATGATTGTTTGTTGATAAAACGAGTAATTTCAAATATAATTTAATTTATTTAGTTCAAGATAATTAAGCTCAGACCCCAAACAATATTACCCACCCCTTACTTATATTAATTTTACCCACCAATGGGCGATAAATGGTAATAAGTCTGGCTAACGATAAACCCGAGTTTAGCGCAAAATTGCGCATGTATCAAAGATGTGTATAATAGTTGTGGTAATATACAGTTGTGCACCGGTGGTGGCTGTCAGGCCATCGCAGACACCGGCACTTCGCTATTAGTGGGACCGCAGCATAAGATTGCGCGCATAAACCGCGCGATTGGCGCCACATATCAGAGCGACGGTCAGTATGTCATTGATTGCCATTTAGTGAAGCTATTCACATAATTTTATATAGTTTTCAAATTACAACTAATAAAATACATTTAGATGAAATGTACATGGTCAATGTCGGTGGGTCAGATAATTTAAAGCGACTGCAGTTATCGTCGCAAATAATTTTACATTTGATAAAATCATATGTTATATATGTTTCATAATTTAATAACCATCATGTGTTTATTTAATAAGTATATTACTATTTCGTTTCATACTGTAAATAAATATATAGACTACAATATATTTACCTAAAAATCAATGTAATTATCTAGTTGGCCTCAATTAAAACAGCGTTTAAATTACATGATTAATTAATACTCTGCTTAATTTTTAAAGGATATTATAATATAATATAAGTGTCTTTAATATTTTAAAAGTGAGCGTATGTTAAACACTGGCAGGTATGTCACATATAGGGTTGCCAGAAGCTCCCGGTTGCCCGGGAGTCTCCCGGAATCAAAGTCCGGCTCCCGTCTCCCGGCGGGGGTCTCACCTTGATATGGGGAGCTCCCGGAATTGCATGATGATGAATACACTAATACAATTTACACGTTTTGCTTGGAAACCAGCTATAAAAATAAATACTACATTTGTTGAATTCACAATGATTATTTCACTTCATTAACAAAATTTGATTTGTCGAGAATCATAGTGAGAATAGTAATTTTAAGTGAATAATGTCAAAAATCGTGTACATTTTAACGTTATTTCGAGTTTGGACTGATTATTTTGATAATTATTAGATTTTAATGACATTTTAGCACTATTTTGCCACCTCAAGGAAAGAATCAAGGAATTCTTTATAAAATCTCAAGGAATCTCCCGGAAAATTTACTTAAAAAACGATTATATCAAGGAAATAGGGAAAACGACCTGGCAACACTAGTCACATACCGTATGTGGCCATTGCAAACACCGGCACCTCTCTAATAGTGTGAGCGCAGCATTGATTGCGCGCATAAACCGCGCGATTGGCGCCACATATCAGAGCGACGGTCAGTATGTCATGAATTGCCGTTCAGTGCAGTCATTGCCGACCGTAACCTTCACTATTTCCGGTCAGGCGTTTCCCTTAACCCCCGTTCAGTATGTGTTGCGACAGTCGGTCTCATACCGCGGGTCTGAACGCATGTTTGGTTTGACAATATATTTTAGGTTATGTTTAATTTGAATATATTATATTGTAATCTTGTTTGATTTCTACAATAATGTGGTTACATATGGCACAATGTTTTGTTCCTTGTTTAATTTAATTCATTAACATATTTA